AGTCACCTCCTCATCCACAGGTGGCCTGAATGTCCGGCTGCACAAACAAGGCCAGGTGTTGGTGATGTCTCCCTGGAGGGAGGCTCGGGGCTCCAGGAGTTGGAAGTCCCGGGTTCTAGGCCGTCGAGAAGGCTGTGACTGGGCCTCACTCCTGTCCACAAGGCGAGGAGACAGAGTCTTGGACCTCCAACACCCATGTTGTACCTTGTTCAGATTTTCCCAGTGGAACATGGGCTTTGGGGTTAAAAAAAAAATGGTATAGGAGGAGGGAGAAAAGAGAGAAGGACATGAATTGGGCACCTTTCTCTGCCTCCGAGGGCCCTGAGTGGGATGTGCATCTAAAGCCCTCTGCCTGTAACAGGCTGGGTCTCATCAGCCTCACTCACAGGTGAAGAATAGAATCGCGGAGTTGAGCCCCCAGATCGCGGTAACACTGCTAGCTGTTCCAAACAGACCAAAACCCAGTCCTCGATTTTCTCTGTGTATCATATTCCTTTTTTATCTGGGGGAAAGTAAATATTTTTTTTCACTGTATAAAAAACAGGATGCAATCAATTGCTAAGGGACAAGACACAAGAACAGAGAGATCTGATCTAGCATTCTCATTAAGGTTTAGAAAGCGCGTCCAAATTGGCATTTGGCGGGATTGGATGGCCCTGAACTAGCTGTCTCAGAGAAGGAACCCTCCAGTGTAAAACACACAACCCTGGTAATAAGTGACATTTAGCAGATATTTACATACTTCTTGTAGAAAGGTTATATCAAAACCGGGTGCATGTCACACTCAGAATCTCCGCTCTTGTAACATTACAAGCTTCCGCTGTCAGCAGGACTTGGGGATTTACCTTATTTAGGAAATATAATGAGCCAGATGAGGTAATGAGGACATCTTGAATGTATGGTTCAGCGTTCCACAGAATCATGGGAAAAATTTTTTAATTGCTCTGTTTAGTTTTCCCCTCCAATTTTATATCTCATGAATCCAAACTACAAGACTTTAGGCCCTCTGCAAAATTGCAAGCCTTCTCTACAGCAAACTTGTGACTCATCACTGAGGCAAGAGAGACAACATAAGCAGCGAAGAAAGAAATGATACTGCTGGCAAATGGGTCTGGGGTTTAACTAACCATAAACATGCCGCTCCTGTGGATGCCATTTGGCTAATGAGATACCGTGACTACTGGGACAATGGCTTTCCCTCTAACCGAGTCCTTCCTTCATCGTGAAACTTTTTAACAATTTTTGATAGGCTCTTTTGTTCTTGTAAAGATGTTTTAAAAATTTAAATATGCATTTTTTCCCTTTGAAACTATTTATCAGTCCAATTATTTAAATACAGGATGACCAAAAATTACATATTCTTTTCAATAATTTTTATGATAGAACAGGAAATATACAGATAACAGTTTAATCAGATTTTTTCAGTACAAGAATGGACTGGTGGGAATGACAATGCCTGAGCAGCAGTGCGCTGCCGTGACGCCCGGCGGCTGCTCCTGGTCACCATGCTGACCACAGCACCCAGCCCGCTCTGTGTGTCCTCAGTGGGCTGAGCCTGAGGGCCGCGTGCTGCCGTGCAGCCTCCCCTCGCTGAGCCCAGTCTCGGGCGGACTCTGCACAGACCCCAGCCTCTCACCCCAGGCACCCACCCACCAGCCTGGGCTTCCTGCTCCGCCCAGTCCACTGCCTGCATCTCAGCGTCTGGTTTAGCACAGAAATGTGATGAGGGCTGTGTCCTAATGGTTTAAAATGAGATGTTCAGAGCAGGGGCCACGCTCCGAGTGACACCTGCAGGTCAGCGTGTTGACATTCGCTTTCAGGGTCGTAAGGTGTGTTTCTTGCTTTTCTGCAGTGTTCTTTATGACTGCGTTTCTGAAATTTACTTATGTGACAACACATATTCCTCATACTCACATGTATCAAAGAAAGGCAAGTATTTCAGAGTAATGGAAAGCGAAGAGTTTGGTTTTTGTTGTACTTGTCTTTTAAAAATTTTTTTATTTTATGAAAAGCAAAACAAAATCTCTTTCTTTTTTTAACATGGGATTGAACTCGGGTTCTTGCGCTTGCACAGCAGGAGGTGAAACCACTGAGCTAAATCCCCAGCCCTTTTTTTTTTTAAACAAAATTTCTTAAAGAAGTAATAGGAGGATAACAATGGCTTTTACGCTGTGTCCCATTATCTTCAAAGTAGTTACTCAGAGTACAAGACATAAACCAAAAAGTTTCTTACAAAAAGAAACAAACAAATAATAACACAAATTTGCTAAGTGAAATAAATCAGACACACAAGCTCAACTATCTCATGGTTTCAAAAAACACAAAGAACAAAACAGGAGAGAAATGAGGAGGAAACAGAGAAGTTCAAATACTTCCTCAAATTACAAATTCCATTGTTTAAAAAATATTCCACTGTATATGCTAATTGGTTTCATTTATACTACCAGTTTATCTTAGTTCATTGTTTTTTGTTTTTAACACTCCTCTGTAGCTACTTCTTGCCTCTATTCTTGAAAAATAGTATGCACAAGTCCTTCCTCTATCTTGTAACGTAAGGGAACATTCTTATATTCGGCAAGTACTGACAGCTTACACCTACATTGTTTTATTATCAAGTGGATAGGTCAAAAACACCTACTTTTCTTGCCTAATTTGGGGAATGGGAAGTACGACTGTATCTATTTCTTCTTCCTCCTGTAACTGATGGAGAAATTGAGTCTTTACCCCACCCGCTGACCTTCCAGCTTAATGCTTTCATCTCACCTTCAATGCTGGTGGAATAGAAGTTTATTTCAAGCCCTGCTCAAGTTTGTGACACCAAGTTCCATCTCAGAACTCAGGGCCACACGCTTTGTTTTACCAACAAGGAATCCGAGGCCTGAAGAAGGTTCAGAAACTCCATCCAGTAGCACAGCTGGAGTTAAAGGGAGACAGTCTGCTTCCAAAGTTCTTGTGTGAGAAAAAGGATCTGCCTTTCAGATGACAGACACCGAGCCAGTGGCCAGTGCCAGGGTGTGCGTGAGAACCCTGACAGATGGGTTTCTGGGTATGAGACCCAAAGGAGAAGAAATGAGACAAGCATGCAGATGTGTTATTAATAACGTCTGTGCATACAGTACACATTCATGCTGCTGGGGCAGATTCAAGGGAATATAGGTGTCTTTAGTACCAGGCAGCATTTTCCCCAGCAAATCCCCACTGCAAACAGTTCTGCATCATCCTCACCCAGGACAGCCCCATCCTGAGGTCCCTTCCCCTTAGCATCAGATCAACTCTTGAGACCCAAAGCTGCAGCTCCATGGAGAAGCTACAGCAGTGTCTAACTGACTGTGTTCATACTTTCGGCAGTTTTCATTTGGTTGGTTTTTAATTTCTCTGATGAGAGGGGGCCGGAGCCACCCACAGCTCTGGCAGTATTTGCGATTCTGAGTTCCAGCGACCACTGCCTCTAAAAGTGGACAGGGCAGTAGTGATGATGCCAAGCACCAGAGTAGCCATGCTGTGCCCTGCTGCTCGCCGCCACCTGTGTCCAGACTGAGTGCCGTACTGGGAGGGACTGGCACATTGTGGCACTGCCCATGCCCTGCACATGCAGCCCCATGCTAGGTGCTGTGTACAGGGTGCCTGAGTCCATGAGTGGAGGACTGAATGTGTGGATTTCCTGCATGATTTCTGTCTTCCCTGAGTTGATAAAAGAAATGAATCTACCATTGATTAGTGAGCAGACTCCACAGACATCTTTCTGTTTAATGGCTTGCAACATCACCCAGGATACTAGCTGATTTTTATTAGGTTATTGCTTGCTTAAGAATCTTTGTGTCCTTTGTCATTTCCATTCCCCTTCATATAAATAAAATTGTTCATTTAAAAAATATGCAAAAGGGCTGGGGATTTAGCTTAGCGGCATTGTACCTGCCTCCCAAGCGCACGGTCCTGAGTTCGATCCCCAATACAAAATAAATAAATAAATAAAATTTTAAAAATATTCAAAAAAACCCACAACAAAGACCAGGAATGCAGGCTCTGATCTCAGCCTAGAACAGCTAACTAGTAGTTAATTAAGGCTAAGGAATGTCTTTGTGTCTCAGGGCCTCATCAGCACAGGAAAGCTGGGAGTAACTGCCCCCCCCACCCTGCTGATGGATGCTGATGGGCATCCTGACAACTCGCCCTCGGTGCACAGGGAGGATTTGCACTGGCCTCCCCGGGACCCAACTTAACTGAGCTATAACGCCAGTCCCCTCACTGAGGAAGAATGGCCCGAGGCAGAGCGTAGGAGGAGGAGCCGGTCGGTGGAGCCACCTTAGGATGGAGCCTTCCAGGCGAGTGTAGCAGTGGCTCTGGCTGCCCAGGTTGCAGACTGTGACCACGTCCACCTGAACAACAGCAACTCCAACAACTTGCCTCGCACCAGCTCTTAATTTAAGGGCCTACGCATGAGTGTATAATGTTAAGGGTGTGGAATAAAGCTGCACATTTTCCTGACAGGAATACTTGTAACCCACAGTTCCTCTAGGCAATAGAAAAGAACCTCGGTGCTAAGACTGGGGTTTCTGTTTCGCCAGTGGTTTGGAGTATCCCTGTTGGCCAGGCATGAAATGGGAGGGTGTGGGAAAGTAATCAGTGCAACTCACAGCAAAGCAGGAAAGAAATCCCGTGCACACATCATTTTTAAAAGTTTTGGAGGAAAATCCAAACCCAAAGCCTCTTTTCATTTACCCTGCAGAGGGAAGTCTGAATGTTTTAATTTAAAAGTGATTCTTGAATTTTACAAAGTCTGCCACTCGGAAATCAATCATATTTGCCGAAGTGCAAATCAAGCCGCCCTTTGCCTTGGTGGTGCAGATAGCTCCACAGAGCAGTGTCCATCTCCTCTGCTAGGGCTCTGGTCAGGAGCTGCCTCAGTGGTTGCCCGGAGGGCTCTTCCAGGGAGGGTAGAATAAGACACAGTTCCAGATTCCCTTGGCTCCATTGCTTTGTCTTTTCCTTTTTTCTTTCAGTACCTCCTTTCATTCAGCCCTTTGAGTTTCCGAGGTTCTCCATCGGGCAGCGGGTCTTCATCCCGTGTGTGGTGGTCTCGGGGGACCTGCCCATCACCATCACCTGGCAGAAGGATGGACGGCCGATCCCAGCCAGCCTTGGGGTGACCATCGACAACATCGACTTCACCAGCTCCCTGCGGATTTCCAACCTCTCCCTGATGCACAACGGGAACTACACCTGCATCGCCCGCAACGAGGCAGCGGCTGTGGAGCACCAGAGCCAGCTCATCGTGAGAGGTGAGCACAGGGGCAAATTCAGCGCTGTTGTAGGCTGGGTGGCCCCAACTCCACTGCCACACTGGGACCGGGACTCGGAGAGGCAGTCTGTCCCTTTCCAGCACTGTGACTGTGGAATCCGCCAAGAATTCCTCTAAAATTCCAAGCCAAGGTTTCATGTGCCTAAAATCTGATATTTCACATAATTAGCAGCCAAGAAATGTGTAAGTGAAAATCGGGGGGCTATCAGATTAAATTCATGCCATCGGCCTCCAACCTAACCCAGTGATCCTCTAGGACTGAAGTCCGTTAGCCCTTGCTTTGTTGTATTTAGGGTTAGGGTTGTGGAACTTTTAATAATACTTCTTATCATTTAGATAAATAGCCTCTAAAATTGATATTGGCCAAAGCTATACTTACTTTTTTAAATGTGGTTTTCTTTGCTCCTTTCTTCTATTTAGCATGAAATCTACTATTACTTTTGCAGGCTGTCTGAGCCTTTTTAAATGAAGCGGGCTATGATAGTATTTATGAAGAAGATTAAACCCAGGTAGTCTAACTTGTAGAAAATACTAGCATAGTCTCACTGCACCTAAAATGAGTCAATCTCCTTTCAGATCTTTACTCAAGACATCAACTCCTCATTAAGGTTCACACTCCATTTGTGAATTAAGCGCCTCTTTGTCCCTAAACTGTCAAATATGAACGATTCTCCAAGACTACTGTATCCATTCATACTGCAAAGGCAGTGGTATGAAATTAACAAGTTATGTTACCATCGGCCATTTATAGTTTACAATTCCTAAATGCCGGGCTGTGGTTTAGAGGGGGATGAATTCTGTTATCTTCAGATTTGCCAGTAGCAGACCCTTCCTTCAGCAGGGGATTCCCTGTCCTTCCTGGATCCTCCACCAACACCTCCCCTTCCTTTGTCACTGAAAATGAACCTGTCTTCCCTCCGACTGGCCAGGAGAAGGAGGTCAGGCCCAGCCCCCCCAGAAGTTGCATGTAGAAACCGACTTCATGTTTCTGAAACAAAATTCCCAGGGTGCATAAGCAAGAAAATGGATCTTCTGTTCGATACAAACTAAAGATACTCACAAGACTCTTTTTCTTTCACCTTTCACTTCCGAGTAGAAGAATTGAGGCACTTGAGTTTTTCCTTTGACTTTTTGAACATAAAAATCAGAGCCAACCACATCTGTTGCGCAAGTGTTTTCTTAGAGGCGGAATGGACTCTCAGCATTGCTTTCAAAGGGCAAAACATTCCATCAGCCTATTTTCATTATAATCTGCACTGATGGATCCAGGTCAGGGAACACAAATGATAGACAAAAATGTACATGGATGTTCTCATATCGCTTTTCCTTGGAGGGAGAGCAGCCAGGCTTTTTTGACCAAGACAAAGGTGAAAGGAACTGAAATGGAGCCCAGAAAATCTCCCTGTGATTCTTCCTCAAACACCAGCTTCTGTGAAGTTTACTGCACAGCGCCAGTCAGTGCTGTGGTGGAAGTCGGCAGGGACAAGGTGAGGGGCAGGCACAGCACGCGTCTGGACTGGACAACAGGGCCTGTGGGAGAGGAAAGGATGGGAATGTATTTTCTGTTCCCAACCAAGACCGACGAAACGATCATCTTTGGGAGTAGATTGATTTCTCAGATATCTGGAAAATTAATTTCTATTTTTCAGTACTTTCCCCAAATCGCTGGTTGGTGGCCCTCAAATCCTGCCACACATTGGTATTGCACTGGGAGCTTCAAAGAAGTTCTGGGGTCCACTCTCAGCCCACATGATTGAGGTGGGACTCAAGCATCAATTTGTAAAACCCCCGAGGAGTGTGCTTCGCATCCTGGTGCCCTGAGCAATCGAAAGATGCAGTCACTGTAGATGCTGTCTTCCTCTGTGTACAGAGAGCCACTTGTGACTCTAAACAGGGTGGTGACGTGGCCTGATTTATCTTTTTGATCATCACACTGGCAACTATGTGGTGAATGTCCTAGGCCTCCAGGCAGGGGGAGCAGTTGCGCAGCAGTTTCAGAAGTGTAGGCAAGCTGTGTGGGTGCACGAGGAAGGAAGGCGGAAATGGTCAAGGTAATGAGAAGCAACTGAATTGCGATGAGTTTCTGTACTGGTCAGCTTTTCATACCCTACATCCACAACTTACAGGAGAAGAGGGTCATCAGGTGCTTTGCACCAGCGGGACATGTTAAAGGTAGGATAATAACAGCCATGGTGCAGGCTCCAGAGGGCAGGTCCAAGAGAAATGACAGGAAATGACAGGATCTTATTTGGGGTCTAGTGAGAAAATAAGCGTTAATATGTCAGACAGAACCACAACAGAGTAGCAGGCACTGGATTCATCCTCCTACCAAAAACAACTACAAAATTAGACAAAATAACATGCAGAACTGTTTCCAGGCAGTGGAACAGGAGCTGTGACCCCTGAGCAGGGCAGAGTGAGAGCTGAGTGCCCCGTAAACCCAGCACTTCCGCTGGGCTGCCTTCTGAGCCGGGGCAGAGGGTTGCTGATCCAGACAGAAGATGATGGTCCTGAGGTGGGGAGAGCAGAGTTGGAGCTCAGAGCCGCTTCGAAGGCTAGACACCGTGGGCGTGGCCAAGAGATCAGGGGCTGCTGAGGGAAGGCCCTCCACACCCAAGCAGTGTTCCTCTACATGTTTAACCGCTTGTGAGATCAGCAGAGGTTATAGCTGGCTTCAAAACGCTGGGGTTCTGAGGAGCTGCAGCGGGGTGCAGCAGGATCAGCTGGGCCCTCGGAAAGGCCCTGCACTGAGGCCGCTCTAGGCCAGCCCTCGAGCCTAGGTGGGAAGCTCCTGACAGGATCAAGCCTCTCCACCATAAACCAAGTGTCTGCGAAAACAAACTCACTCAGGCAAAGAAGGACAAGATTCAGACTCTCAATAGCAGGCATATCCACAATGACTGCATGCCATAAAATATTATCCAGTAGGTAGGAAGCAAGAAAATGTGAACCATAAGCAGAAGGAAATAAACAAAATAGACGCAAGGATGCAGCGATGTGGACACTGGCAGGCAAGGTTTGGAAGCCGCTGTCAAGAATGCTTTCCAGGTTGCTAACAGGAAGATGTACCCTGTGAGCGAACGCATGGGGGTTTCAAGAAGAGAAAGGGACAGTGTTTCCTAAAAGAACCAAAAGAAATTTCTGGATGTGCAAATGGGCTACTTCAAACAAGAAACTCACTGGGTGTATTTAACAGGAGATGGGATCCTGCAAAACAAGGAATCCCTGAATTTGAAATTAGAGGCCAAGAGAAATATCCAAATTTCAGTTCAGAGAATAGAAGACTGAAAATAGAAATTGTGGCTCAGTAAACGTGGAGCAGTATCAAGAATATATATATATATATATATATGGAGAGAGAGAACTATATATAGATAGACAGATAGAGAGATAGATAGATAGAGAGGAAGAGAGAGGAGCGTATAGATCAGAAAGCATGAAAGAACCCAAGAAGAGCAAACACATAGAAAGCTGTCCCATGGCATAGCAAAATCAAATTATTACAAACCAATGACATGCAGAAACATTAAAGGCATCCAGATAAATTAGACTCATTGCATCTAGGGGAACAAATTCAGAAAATTTAGGTAACTCATCAGAAACAGTGCCAGCCAAGAAAGAATAGAATGCCGTCTTTAATGCATCAAAAGGGTAGGGACAAAACCAAAGGGCTTCATAAGCAGCGAGATACAGTCGTACAGTCTTTACACATGAAGAAGACACGGTGACATCTTCAGACAAGCACGATGGGAGAGATTAATCTGTGTGGAGCTTTCACTACAATGTATTTCAGGAATTTTTATCAAGTTAAAACAAAATTATTTTAGGTGGAAATTTTGATCTACAAAAGTAATGAAGGTCCTTGGATATGATAAATTGTATTGCTAGACATTAAAGACATTTTGTTTTCATTTTTTAACTTTTAAATATATATATTTAAACTAATAATTTATGAGGATTTATAGCATGCAAAATAAAATGTACAGCAATATTAGCACAAAGGATGGGAAGAAAATGGACACTTACTGTTGTAAGATGACTTTTAAATGATACCTGAAGTGGTGCAGGTTATTTGAACACAGACACTGACAGCTAAATATGTACAATGTAAACTCTAGAGCCATAGCAAAAACTAAAACCAAGAGGTACAGCCATTATTCCTGTAGGAGACATAAGACAGAACAATAAAATACACTCAATTTACCGGAAAAAACTTGTAGAAAAGGAGAAAGCAGGTAATGAATGGGAGATAGGAAAATAAAAATCAAATAGGTAGACCAAATGGGTAGACAGTCATATCAGTACATACAATGGTACAGATGGCTTCACTACACAAACTGAAAGTTCCCAGACTGATCCCTAAGTATGAACCAAGTACTGGTTCTCTATGGCAAGCTCACTTCAAATAATGTAATGATGTGAAAATGCGAATAGACTGAAGATCAAAGACTATGAACTATCATAAAATCTTGATAGACTATACCAGTACTGAACAAAATAGACCCGAAGCCAAGTGACATTACTGTGAATACATAAGGACATGTTAAAATGACAGGATTCTCAATTCATCAAGAAGAAATCAACATTTGATGTGTGGATGTACCTAGTAATGGAACTTCAAAATGCATAATGGAAAATCTGATGGAACCAAAGGGAAAAAGATGAATAGGCAATGATAAGTGGAAAGTTCAACACTCCTTTCTCAGTAATTTATAAAATAAATAGGAAATAGTATGCATGGAGATCTGAACAGCTATATCAACCAGTATCTGAATGACAGGGAAAAAATGTAGTCATGGAGAGTGGGTATAAAAGAATATATTTGTAACCACCCACTAATGTTTTAGAGTTCGAGCTCAGCAGTTGTTATCTGAGATGTAAATTAAAGTGGGCTCAAAAGATGTTGCTTTGACATTGATTATGGTTTATTTAGAGACGGGGGGCGGGGGGACTTCTTGTGACTAGAGATGCAAAAATATTTAACAAAATGTTAACATGTTGAATTGGCAATATACAGAATGGATAAAACATCAAAAGAAAGTGGCCTTTCTCAAAGGGATACAAGCTTGGTTTAACATTTAAAACTCAAGCAATAGAAATCACTATCTTCACAGAATGAAGAAAATCTACAGACGTAAATAAAATAACAGAACAGAATTGACCAGAGTTCAACATCCATTCCTGATTTTTAAAAGATTTCACAAATTAGTAGAAGGAAGCAACCCTAAGATAATAGAAGTCCCCTCATACCATATAGAGCTCTCTGTACTCTTGAGACCCATGATTGGGAATATGCATATTTGCTCTGATGACTTCACTCAGTTTTCTTCTAGGTTTGTACATAGGCAATAAAAAGCATTATAAAGTTTTACATTTGTAAGGGAAGGCACAAAAGTCCTTCCATTTGCAGATGAGCTATCTACCAGTATCTATCAGTATCTGAGTACTATATAACTAATGAGAGAATGTGGCACACCCACAGGATATGGAGTGAAAGCACTGAAATAAATTTTATTTCTCTATACGGGTGAAAACAATTGGAAAATGAAAATATATTCTTCCAAATATCATACTTGGGGATAATTTAACATAATATATGAGATGACTACAACATACGGTTAATGTTTGAATAAAAATTTTTACAGTTTAAAAATTTTAGCTCAGGGATTTAGCTCAGTGGTTCCAGCGCCTGCCTCTCAAGCGCAAGGTCCCGAGTTTGGTCCCCGGTACCAAAAAAATAAATAAATAAAATTAAAAAGGCACACTGCCATTAATTCCCTCAAAATACCCTTGGTTGGGCCGAGGATTTAGCTCAGTGGTTTTCCCGCCTGCCGCGCAAGCGCAAGGACCTGAGTTTGATCCCCGGTACCAAAAAAAAAAGAAAAATACACCCCTTGGTTCTTAGAACACACTTTCCCCATCATTCGTGCAACTTTCTGAAGCAGCTCTGGAGTCCTTTTCTATGAGGGTCTTTAGTTACACTGCCATGGCCACCTTAATGTCCTGAATTGATCCAAAACATTTCCCTTTCACGTTCGTTTTGAGTTTGGGGGAGGAACCAGAAGTAACACGGAGCCAGATCTGGTAAATAAGGTGGATGAGGACACAGCATCATGTTTTTACGAGCTGCCTTTCTCTTCGATGGCGCTCAGCAGCTGCATTCACCATGTTTTTAATCATATCTCATGAAAGAGGACTCCAGAACTGCTTCAGAAAATGGCCAGAAGGGTGTTTGAAGTAAGGGGTGCTGTGAGGGAGATTAATGGTAATATGTCTTTTACTAGTAAAAATTTAAATTTAAACATTTACCAGATATAGTATTTTTATTTTATTTTATGAAAAATAAAACAAAATTTCATAACAAATAATAAGAGAATAACAATAGTGTCTTAGTTACATTGCTCATTGCTGAGATAAAATACCTGACATCCAAAGTTAAAGGATGAAAGGTTGACTGTAGCTCAGAGTTTGTAGAGGTTTCCGGTAATTGGTTAGCTCCAAGGCAGGGTGGCAGAGGGGCATCGCAGAGGAGAAAATGTTAATGGTAGTCAGAAAGCAGCAGAACAGTGAAATAGCAAAGAAGCAGCAAGAGACAGCAGCAGCCCTCTTTCTGTTCTGTGTATCTTATCCAGGCTGTGTGCCCTTGGGGTGGGTACCACTCACACCCAGGGTGGGGCACCCTTAATCCTAGCATCACACCAGTGAATCAATCCCAGGGTCACATCCTTGATCCCAGCATCACACGCCCTAGATCCAGCCGCCTCTGAAAAGCCCCACCGTTGAGCGCATGAGGCTTTGGGAGACATCTCGATACATGCCATGCCAAATCGTCAATATGCTGTGTGTCATAATCTTAAAGGAAGTTACTCAGAGTACAAGATATAAACAGAAAAGACACTCTCTTACAAAGAAGAAACAAGCAAGTAATAACATAAAACTTTCTTTTCAGTGAACTAACAGAAACTGGTAGTATAAATGAAACAAATTACTGTAGGTAGTCAAATACTTCTGAAGCAGTGGAGTAGGTAATTTGGGGAATTATGTGAACCTCTTCCTATTTCCCATTTGTCTACCTTGGCCACCCCTTCTACAGTGAATGCTACAAAATATTGTTGAGAAACTGAACAATGCTAATAAAACACTCAGCAAGCTCTGGTATAAAAATTCAAACTTTTTTCTAAAACTTATATGGAAAGGACAAGGGCCTAGAAAAACCAAAGCAATTTTTAAAGCAAGAACCAACCTGGGGGGGCTTAAACTATCTTACTAAAACTGAACAAAAAACGCACAATGGGCCAGCTGCGGAGCTCGTGTTGTATAGATTGTCTGCGAGTCGTTCTGACTTCAGAAAATCGGTCACCTCTTAAATCTCCATCGCCAGTGTCTCAGCGACTCTCCTCGGGCCTGTTTTCCTTTCCATTCCTGTTGGCAAGATAATGACTGAACTAACTGTGTGAAGCAGAAAAGGACTGCAGGGCCCTCCTGCCGCTCCAACAAGGCATTGTCTCTTGCAAAGTCCTCGTCTGTGGCAACCTTTACTTTGTTTCCTCAGCAACTTTCTGATGATGACTTCAGTGTTTTCTTGTGCTTCGATGTCTACGAAAGGAAAAAAGTCGTCGAGTTGTAACTCTTTTAAAGATCAATAGGTGGTTACAAATATGGACATTCTTTTATAACTGCTCTCAAATGAGTACATTTTTTCCGTTATTCCCTCCTTCATCTGCCCTTTTCCCCTCCAAGTATCGGTGTGTTGAGCACACACTCCTAATTCCCGGCTCCTGGAAGAGTCCTGGGAGGGGAGCTCATCTCCTCCCCATCCAGCCAGACAGGGAGACGCATGACAGCTCACCCAGCGGTGTGACACGCTGTGGGACCTCAGCCAGAGAAGAAAGGAGAGTCACCGGCCTTAGAGGGCGCATGAAGCAGACGGGAGGAGCAGAGAGGGAGGAATCCTGAGGGTTGGGAAGGGGAGCAGCTGGATAGAACGGCTGAGAGGGAGACAGCAAGCTCGGGAAGGTCGAGGCTGAGAGAGCAGGCGCCACAACGCCCCTGTGCAGACAGGAGTGCAGCTGCAGAGCGGGGAGCACAAGGGGACAAGGGGACTGTGCAGCCCACACTGTTCCTCGCCTCGGCCTTCTGTGTGACGGGCATGGACATCCAGGAGGGGATTCAAAACAATGACCAGGGGGCCACGCCGGATGAGTCCATATTGGAATAAAGGGGCCCAAAGGCTGGAAAGGGGCCTGTCACCATCCACATGACAAGCAGGGACACTGGAGCCAGGTGGCCGTGCAGGACAGACAAGGCTGGGGCCTCAGCCGTGTGACGCCCCCATGGGAAGGGACCTGTGAGAAGCCTCCAGGGCCCCTTCTGCCCGGGAGATGAAGGGGGGCCCAGGCAGGCCATGGTGTCTCCCTGAGCACATTTCCCTCCATCAGAGTGCTTTCTCCTGGGCTGAGCACCAGCACGGTGACGTTCCTTGCTCCGTGACCGCTGGGGCTGGGCTGCTGTTCTCGTCACCACCAGCACATGTATCACTAGGCCTGGACACAGAAGCTCGGTAAAGCTAAGTCTCTTACTGCTCCTCAGTGCCATTCAAAGAGCACTGAACAGCGAAGTCTGAGCTCAGGCACTCACCTCCACAGTCGGTCATCCAGTTCGTGAGGAAGTGCAAACACACCCGTGACAAAATAAAATCCACAGGCAGCTCCTCCCAGCACTGACAACACAGGATTATTCTACTCATCTAGGGGCTGTTTCCATCTGTAACCACCTTACCCTTGCGGTGTATTAATGACAGTTTCCCAGGTCGACCTCTTTGATGAGTATTTATTTAAGTAACATTTCTTTGGATTTGAGCCAAATTGTGGGGGGGCGTCACAGAGTGATTATAATTGGACATTGTTCCGGAGGAAGTGCAGGAGTTTAGTGACCCTGTGTGTCTGGCAAGGGATTTGTTGCTCTTGGCAGAATTTGAGGCATAGAAGATTGGATGTAGGTGGCTGCAGACTCGCCTTCCACCCTGAGGATAGAGATTCTAGTCTAATATTTAAACATTCTAATGAACCCTAGAAGTTGATTGATGATTTTTATTAGAAAATTTTGCTCTATGTAATCTCTATCATCTTCCCTAGAAATAATTTTCTCAATATTTGAGAGCCACCCCTTATCATCTTATTTTAAATATATCTACCTTTCGCTGAATGTATTTGTCTCAGAATACAGTACCCTGAAGGGGACTTGGTCACTACTCAAGCAGTGTTCTGGAGACCTGCGGGCTGTGAGAAGCACTTCTTTCCTTTGGAGCCCGGGGCTGTGTTGGTGAGGATGTGTCAGGGCTGGGCGTAGCCTGCATTTACTGAATTAATCTGCGCTCATCTCCCAGCCACTGTCCTGAGAACTTCTCTAGCTTGATCCATTAGATCCTCGTAACAATCCTATGACATGCTTTACATATAAGGACACTGAGGCCAGGAGACATTCTATAACTTGCACAAATTATCTGACAGGAAGTAGCGGAGCTGGAGGCCAAACCAAACTCATTGATTTGTGGAAGAAAAATTGCCAGCACCAAGCTGGTACCTCTCTTTTGTCCCACACTACAAAAACCACTGTTGTTTTCCATCTGTGTCACACCTCTCATTCAACTGAGTCTGCGAGTAGGTTCACGAAATCAGACCTTTACTGGGTTGTGGCTGTGTCTAATGACCACTACTTTCTCTTTTCAGTTCCTCCCAAGTTCGTGGTTCAGCCCCGGGACCAGGACGGGATTTACGGCAAGGCTGTTATCCTCAATTGCTCGGCTGAGGGCTATCCCGTACCCACCATCGTGTGGAAATTCTCTAAAGGTACGAAGTGACTGGTTTGCTTGTGACCTGCCAACTGGTGTCATGCTCCAGGGGGTCCTAGTCCGGGAGGTGTGTCGGCAGGAGGGTGTGGCACTCGCTCAAGCTCCATAGTGCTACCCGTGCTCGCCGCCCCCGAGAGGTCCTCGGGGAGCCCAGATGGGTTAGGTACCCTGTCCACCTAGGTGAGAGTACTACGGTCAGCGTCCAGACCCCTGCAAGCCCAGACGTGGGGAGAGGGGTGCAGTGTGGACTGTCAGAACTGCTCACTGCTGGAGGATTGTTTTCCCTGTCGTTAGAATTATGAGACTAAGTGGTTTATAAGGTTAAAGTATAAAACCATTGATTTTGCAAACATTTACTGTTTGCCTTAGAGCAGTGGTGGCAGATCTTTTAGAGCTGTCCACGATACCCACAGCCTGTCGCAGCACACGGGCCACAGGTTTGCCTTCACAGTCCTGCAGTCCACAGCGGGCCAACCATCTCCTTGGGTGCCTGCCTCAGAGCCGTCCCGTGGGAGGCCAGAGCTGCTGCCCACCTCCTAACGCTAGCTCGCTCTCTGAGGCCTCAGCCGCCTTCCTACATGGCTCCCGCGTGAACACTGTCCATAGAGATGTGTGCTGGGGAAGCAGCGGAGCCACAGGCACTGGAGAGACACTGTGTCCTCAGCCGGTCTCCTCCGCGGCACTTGCAGGCACAGCAACAGTCTCCTCTCTCTCCTTCACACTTCTTAATTCAGCAGTTTATTATCAACAGCTGAGGGCCAGACACGCGATGAGATAACCCAGGCAGTGATGATGCCAGCAGGATTTCTCCACAATCTCAGGCCTATTCAGCCATGCCCCATCCCGAAGGGCATGCTTGCTTCTCTCTTCACTGAATCACAGTGTGGTCTGGATGCTTCTTTTAAAGCAACATGTTGAACTTTCTTCTTGTGCCAACGAGCAGAAGGGAAAACAATGCGCGGGTGCCACCACCCTGAGGGAGGAGAGGACCACAGGGATGGGACCCTGAGTGCCAGCGAAGATGGCTGCCTGTTTACGGACGCCCCGAGGCCACGCCCGTGTGGCCGAGGACACACACTGTCCACGTGAAAAGCCCGGTTCGGAAACAACGGCTCACTCCTCAGAGTCCCTCCGGCTTTTCCTTCTAGGCCGTGTTTGAGGCTGCGCTGTCTTCTGGTGTGGAAATGGATACACTGCACACATTTAACTCGGCGTGTTTACTGTTAGGGACATTTCCCATGACACTCATCTTCTTCAAAAGGTTCCACAGCTGCTGTTGGGCTGACCTTCCCTGCCTCCCTCAGCCTGTTCCCAGTCCTCTGCCCCTGTACACACCGCCTCGGTGGGCTCTGCGCCTCCGAGAGGAGAGGTCACGGAAGGCTCTCGGCTGTCCTGGCCACAGGTGCCATGGTCACCAGCTGCCTGACCTTTTCATTTACTTACTGAAAATACTACTGGCATTCAAATGCTTCGCCCTGTGTTACGGGACATGTCTTTCTCCCGTGAAGAATCTTACTCACGTCACTGGCGCACTTATCTCTGTGTCCTGTTTGTCTGGAAGAGTTTCGTACAGATCGAGTTACCCTCTGTCGTGGGCAGCTCGGGCACTCTATCCCTGCCCGGCATTGACTCACAAACTAGTTACTTTTTCATTTTTAAATTTCCTATGAAATACCGCGTCATCAAGGAAAACATTAAAACTTCAAAAAAGTTTATTCCCCATTTAATAACATCAAAGACAATCAAAGATGATTGTTGGAAATACTTTTGTCTGACCTCTCATGCCTGTCCCCCCCCAGTTATATATCTATAGTCATACATTTTTTTAAAACTTTGATCATGTGACTGATCCTGGCTGATAATCTTCTTTTTCAGTTAACAGTATGCTGTAAATGTCTTTCCATGTCAACAAAGACATGTTTAATGTTATTTCTTAATGTCTGTATGAAGTTTGTGTTAGCACATTGGTGAGCGCGTTGACTCTCGTCTTGGCTAAGACTGAGTTCAGCAGCCTACATTCGGAAAGGTTCACTCTTCTTCGTATCTTCTCTGGATGGAGGTAGCTTCGATGTAGCATTTTATTTTGCAGCTTTTGCTTTAGGCCCACACATAATTGTACCCGTTTACCTGTTGTACCTACCCACGGACTACAATACGGTGTTTCCTTGCATACGAACATTGTGCAGTGATCAAGTCAGAGTAATTAGCATATCTACGGTCTTAAACACTGATCATTTCTTTGGGGCAGGACATTCAAAATCCTCTCTTTTAGCAATTTTGAAATACACAGTAAGTTGCTGCTAACCACTCACCCTGCTGTGCCACACACCAGCATTTACCCTCTGTCTCTTCTCGCTGACCAGCCTCCCCCGAGCCCTCCTTCCCCACTGGTGCTAACCACTGTTCTACTCTATTTCTATCAGAACAACCGTTTTCGATTCCACATATTAGTGAGATCACACATTTTTAATGGAACCGGGAATGGAACCCAGGGCCTCACACATGCTAGGCAAGTGCTCTGTCACTGAGCTACATCCCAAGCCCTTTTTCTATTTGGAGACAGGAGTGCACGGGGTTACACAAGCTGAGGCAAGCTTGCTGTCCTCCTGGCTACGCCTCCTGAGTAGCTGGGATGACAGGCCTGTGCCAGTGCCCTTGGCCCTTCAGGATTCTCTTAGTTCCTGGCCATTTCACTTAACGTAATGTCCTCCAGCCTCACCCATGTTGTCACAAATGGCAGGATTTCACCCTTTTTGTTTGGCTCCCCCAAGTCGTCTGGAAACAGGTCTTCTCCTCAGTTAAGAAGAGTCCTGCCCCTCTTAGCGAGCATCTCCTGCACCCAAAGGAGACAGCCAAGCAGTTGTGGTGGCAGCTTTCACAGTTCCAGGGGACAGGAAGATGGTGACAGGGAGGGAGGGCCTCGCCCACCTGTGTCAGCAGCTGCCATCATGAACACAACTTTGCTGTCAGACCAAGGAAGAGGGCGGGTGGGTCCTGGCAACGAGGTGTCTCCAGCACGGCTCTTGGAAGTTGTGGGTTTCTTCCTGTCGGAAAAAATGTCCTAATGACTTCGATCACATTGATCTTTGTCAATGTGTTCATTTTTCCCCAGGGGATACTTTGCTGTAAGTAGAGTGGCCGGCTCCAGGAGTGAACCATGTTTATAGCTCTTGAGATGTGCTGACAGTTTGCTAGAATTTTATTTTTTTTATACATCTTGCCTCAGTTTTCAGTAGTGCCTGCTTATTATAGCCAGATATTTCTTCTTAAATATTTCCCAGTCCAGTAGAGGTCTATTGGATAGTGTTGTTTTTAATTATGCAAATAATAAATAAGTTTCTTTTTTAAAAATTTCAGCCTTGCTCATGGAACATATTTCCTATAGTCAAAATAGACGCTACAAACTGAAGTGCAGATGCAAATAGAACAGGCTCAGGTTGTTTTCCTGAGAGTTGCAGCCACTTAATACTGGGCTGCAAATTTCTAGAGTAGGAGGTGTGATGGAAATGTGGGGTCAATACTTAAATTTTAAAATTGATTGCAGTAAAAGACACAATTGCCACAAATTCCACTTGCTTGAACACGTTATCCCATCACTTTTCCACTTTCTAAAACAGCTAAGGAAGTCCTCTTTCCTGTCTTCTGTGATCAGAAATATAGTGAATGCAGGCAAGCGCCATCCAGCAGAAAGGCAGCTCCTAAAAACACGACCCTGTGTCCTCATCCACCTTAGTCACCCGATGTGGCACTGTGTGACTTCCGGTTTTTCCCAAAGCCAAAATGATCCTAACAGGGAAATGTTATTAACCGATTCAGGACACCAAAGCAGCCAGGACAGACAACTAAAGACCTTTGGGAAAGAGGACTCCAGAGCTGCTGCAGACAGGGAGGAGAATGATGTCAGGAGTGTGTCTGAAGCGAGGGGGAGGATGCTGAGGGGATTCGTGGCAATGCGCCTTCTACTGTAAGAAGATCTGTCTTCAAATTTACATCTTCACTGTTTTTCAGTCATGCCATCTATATTGTGGTGGCTTAGGGAATTGTTTTAGTCAGCTCTTCTTTGCTGTGACCAAACACCTAAGAAAAAAAAGCTTAAAGGTGGAAAGGTTTCTCTTGGCTCTCGGTTTTAGAGGTTTTGGTCCACAGCAGCTGCCCTGGTCCTATACACTGGAGGTGGAACTTCAGGGCAAAGGTCACGTGCTTCACCCGGAAGCAGAAGTGGAGAGATGGGTCTGAGTTCGAGAGGAAGGGCCAGGCCCAGAGAGGCCCAGGCCGCACCTCCAGACTCCTCCCTTCAGCTCGCCCAGGCTCCTGTTTCCATCACCACCCAGTAATGCTCTCAGTGTGGGATCCCATCCGTGGATTAACCACTGAGGAACTTAGGACCGCAAGACCCAGTCACTTTCTGAAAGCCCAACAACTCTGAACACAGAAGACTTTCGGGGAACATTTTAGACCTGAATAACAGCGGCCTTTGCAGAAACAACCCTTGCTGAAAAACAGGGTCGCTCTCTTTTGAACCTTGAGTTGAATACGTGAAGCTGAGACATTTAACTCTGGCCCCTGGTTTTTCCTTTTATGTAAACAAATGAGGTCTCTTGTCTAAAAAGAGGTTTGAAAACTCAGAGCTTCATAGCTGGGAGGTTTCCCCTGTGCACAGCGGAACAGCATCCATCCACAGGCATCCCATTCACAGCAAAGGGACACTGGTGTCTGTTATCGTCCCGGGACCAGGGCCACCTCAGGGTTGCCACAGCGGAGGACAGACCAAGCCCTGGCCCGGGGCCTGCCCGGGGCATCCTCTGCTCTTGCTGGCTGTGCACAGGCTCCTTGGTGCCCAGGAAGGCCCAAGACAAATGTCAGAGCGGCGGGCAGTGGAGCGGGAAGTAGTTCGCACTGAAAACAGCATTGTCGGGGAGGACCTGAGGCAGGGTCGTGGCTGAGCCTGTGTGTGACCCGAGGGCTGAAGGGAAGGGACCAGCCAGTGCCAGCGCTGGG